TGACACTTAAAATTATTCAACATATGATGGAGAAAATTACAGGGTAAATGAAAACAAAGAAAAGAAAATATCATCCCTCTCAGATTTTAAATAATGTGAATTGGATGAAAATTCAACTGGCAGAGATGAATTGCTAACAAGAGCAAAGACCACAATAAAAAAATCATTAAATAATTTCAGAATGGAATCATATACAGATTTTGGATTGAGTCTTGATAGGGATTATGATACTGTTAGTGATAGCTCTGGTGAATCAGTTTATGTGAATGGGGCAAATACCTTGAACAAAGCAACAATAATTAATATTGTTAAAATAATGAAAATTCTTCATACATTTTATTATATATAATAAGAATAGTTTTTATACGGTATTAGATTTATTTTTAATCTTACTAGAAATTTACTTTACTTTATCATTGTTCATCATATATTATTTTTAATAATTAAGTAAAAATAGTTTGTATGTTTGTTTTTATGTGACACTGTAAACAATTTTAATAGGAATTTATTTTATATCAATATTGCTTGTCATGTATTTATTTTTAATATTGGATATGTTTATAAAATATTTTGTAGAAATAGGTTTAAGGCTTATTTTTGACGTAATATATACCATTTTTTTGTTTTAGTGAAGCATGTATAATGCTCAGTTTTTAATGAGCCCATATTAAGTTATTTTGTAGTAACTGAGAAAAAAAATTTTATACTTCAAACATTACGAAACAAGTATTTTTATGTATTAAAAAGTATTTTCATGCAACATTTATTTTTATTTTATAACGGACACTAAATGAATTGATCTTTACCTTTGTTGGATAAAAACTGATTATTTATTATTTAGTTAAAGAAATAAATGACAGGAGTCCTGTATGAATGCCCTATTGAGGAACAACAATTTCTTGATACCCTCGGCAAATAGAGAAATGGAAAACGACATTCTTTGAAATAAAAGAATGAATTAAGGACGAATCATATCGCAATGATAAATTTTAATAATTTTATGGCGCGGTGCATGTTTTGCAGGTTCTTGAAAATGGCTCCTGAAGCCCAAACGTTGCATAAAGGATACAGGAGATAAAAAAACTGTGTTTTTTTGGTGACCTTTGGTCTAAAATAGATATATGATAAATTATGAAAACATTTTTTTTGTAGTTGCCATACTAAAAAAATAGTTTCTATACATTACTGTCTGAATTGTAAATAACACTAATTAATAAATATAACATTAGAAATTCACATTTGCATTACTCAAAGTTTCAGAATAACAAAGAAAACAATGAGATGCGAAATCCACAGAACAGTTGCATAGACAACACACTGGAGTGTGAGGCACCCAGGAGTCACTTAAACAATACACTGGGGTGTGGGACACCCCACAATGACTTTCGATGACTTCCAATAATGATATAAGCCTAACAATGGATTGGTAATGACTTTAATTAGCCTGGCTATGTATGATTACATGAAAAAACTTGGCGAAAGGACTACTTATATAAAAGTAAATCAATGTTGAAAATGTTTTGGGGTATGGCGTTCTTCACCCCATTGTGTTGTTCTAGGATTAAAGTTACAACATGAGATAATAATGACAAAATAATACTTAACTTTATCATATGATTTTATGTATAAGTTAAATTCAATTTTATACACCATTGTAGAATTATCCAATAGTTTTTAGTTATTTATTGTTTTTTTTTTATAATAGTATGAAAATGGTTGACCATGGGTTCTAATTTCAGAGGAAGTTAGTCGGTGACGTGCAATGCAATAAATATACTATTATATAATATAATATTTTTTGACTGCACCACCGACTAAGTTTTTCTTTTATATTTAAATCATTTCTCAATAATTATTACATATTAGTTCTGTTCCAATATCAGTTTTAACCTGAGAGAGGTTTAGTCTTGAGCAGTTTGCTCATTGACGGAAATGTATGTCTATGTTTTCCTAGTATATCATATCTTTGCTTATATTTTTTTCTACTTTCCCTTAATCCTTTGAAGTTTATTGCTGCTTGTTTATATTACACACCTTTTTCTTCAATGATTGCCTCCATATCTAAACTCAATCTGGCCAAGCAACATATATGACTCAGTGTTCCTCTCACCAGTACACTCCTTACCTTACATATTTTTTTCTTAGTTGAGAGTTTTGCTTACCTAAACACTTCCTGCATTTCTTTTTTTAAATCATAATTCTTTATGATATCTCGATTCTTCAGTCCCTGATGAAAGAGCTAAATGTAAATTTGAAGTTACTACTGACAGTTTGATTATTTTTTTCTAAATTCTTAACCCAATTTTTTTATTTTTTAAATTCCTACTTATGGCTTTTAGAATCTTCTATCATGATCATGTCTCAAAGTGAAAGCTATTGCCTCCTTAATCAAAAAGAAGTACGGTTGAAAAGAATATAGTCATTCTTTCTCCAAGGCTATCATCCATTGCAAAGCATGCTAAATCTGCTTCAGATATTTGGTTTATTTTTTATTATAATAAATTAATAAAAAAGCTCAGCCATCCCGCCCACAAAGAATCCACAGCAATATAAACTTTTGCTATTAGTGCCTCACAAAGAAAAACAGAACAACCAAAAAGACATGTGCAGATTGTTCTAAACCCATTTACAATGAGCATTTCACTTTTAAATGCACTTCATGTTAGTAGAGTAATCTGACTAAACTAGTTATTACTTTGCAGTACATCAATTTGTAACGTAATTGAAATAATTTGTTTGTGTTTTAAATATGTTTTTTAAATAAAATTTAATTATTTGTATGTTTTTATCTAAATTTTTATTTTTAAACATGATTTTGTTTTAATATTCCACATTATATTTAATAAATTCATTTTTGGACTTTAAAAAAGTGTTTTTATTTGTTAACCACAATGAAAAAACTAAAAAAACACTTGATTGCAAAAATGATTGCATTGAAAATAATCGTAAATATTCTTGTCATCATTAATTATGTACAGAAGTAGAACAAATTGTCTACCATGAGCTAAGTGCTCACAGGGATATCTCCAGGTTTACTATTAGCAGACTGGCAAGTGTAACCCAGTATTGTTTTTTCATTCCAAAATCTTTACCATGTATGTGCCTGCCGGTTTGCTGATAGTCAAAATTCATGTTGGAACAGACTAATTGTTATTTTAGCTGGATGAAAGACTAGTAGATTGAAACCAGTTAAATAAAAAATTTATTAATTTTTTTCTATTTCCTTTTTAGACAAGTGAAATATTTTTGCTTACAGACATTTTGTTATTCTCCTAATCTAAATTCCATGTGGCAGTTTTAGAATTATTTTAAACATTTTAATTGCAGCTAGTTGTTATTACCGCTAAATGAAATACAAAATATGGCGAAAATGATGTATTTGATCCAAATATAATAATTAAGTATAGCATGGTAACTGAGAAATCAATTCTTATTCAATACTTATTTTGAAGATTTTAGTTAATCATCATAAAAGAACTTGAATCCATGATTTTTAATCAGAAGATTTTATACAAAAAATTGCATACTATTTCATCTACTAAAACATCATATAACTTTTTTTTAATTCCATCATAAATGACTTAAAATTATGAATTATATATATATATATATATATATATATATATATATATATATATATATATATATATATATATATAATATATATATATATATATATATATATATATATATATATATATATATATGTCATGAAAGGGGTTTTTCTATTATTATTGTTTTTAAATCTCATAATAAATAAGAAAACTGAAAACAGTTAATATAAGTGAAACATAACATTTTAAAATGTAAATACCCCACAAATAATGTTTTAATAAAGTAATCATTTAGATTAACTAATTATTACATTTACGATGTATTTTCTTATATTTTTTTCTACTTTCCCTTAATCCTTTGAAGTTATCAATAACTACATTAATTAAATTTTACTTAAATATCTAAATTTGAATCCGCTGTGTAAATTTATTACTTGCCATTACTTCTATAACTTTTATTGTTTTAAGAAAAGCTTATTGCTATAAAGATTTTTTCAATCACAATTAATTATTAATATTCAATTTTTTTCCCTCTAATATCAATCACCATCAGATAGTTACTTATTGTTATTTTTTCCTTTAATAGGTGCCAAGACGATTAATAAAGTTTTAGCTATAGCTTTGAATGAACATTTCCGTTATCTATACTTTAATGTAAAAGAAAGTGTTGAAAATGATAGATAATAATATCAATATTCGTCAAATATATCAAAATCGAATATTTTTTATGAAAATTCATATAAATTAATTGTTGTTGATTTCGATTTTTACAAAAATTAATACAAATTGATTGTTGTTGATTTAGATTTTTACAAACATTATACCAACTATAAATAAATAATAGCATTTGGACGGATAAAATGAAAGCACACTTTGGAAAATTGCATGGATATAATACATGTTTTTTAAATAAGTGACCAAAATAAAATTTGATCTCTTAATTTTTTTATTATTTTTTTTAGTGACATTAAACATTGGAATTAATCTATTTAACTAAAGAATATTATTATTATTATTATTTTAAAATAAAAATATAGATATTTATCTTTTTGTTGGAAGTTATGAAATTTACTTCTAAGTTCAGCTGAAAATATCTAATTTATTTAATCAACTGTCAGAAGAAACTAAAAGGAACTCATTCAAAACCATTAAATCAATTAATTAAAACGAGCTGATTCAAACTCCATTAAATTAATAAATTATAAGAAACTCATTCAAAACCATTGAGTTAGTGATATCACCTTTTTAATTTGTAAGAAATACTCATAATAATATTTTTAATGGATAGACTTAAATTGAATGTTTTGAATGTTTATGTCTAAATTTTGTTGGCCATTGCTTTATTGATTATGTACCAAGTGAGCCAGCAGTGCAGGCTAAACGGTTGACTACCATGACGGTTTTAAAATCTGTTGAGCATTTGTTATGTACATGAATTTGACATACCGGAGCCAGGCCTGGGCATTCATAAACAGTATAATCCCCTTCTTCATTTTCATCATCTTCACTGTCTGCTTCCGACACAGACCCTCGTCGCTCACCTCGATTCGAACTGGAAAAAATGATGTAATATTATTATTTTAGGGATTGAAAATCCCATTAATTAGTAAATAGAAAATGTATTGAAAACTATTGAAATAAATGTGACAGGGGTGTTTATGGAAATGCCCTGGGGTGTTGATCAATTTTTTTTCAGAATAATCATGAGGTCAAGATAACAGGTATTTTGTTGTTATTCCTGTATTCTGTTAAATTGATCTAAGGTGAGTTAGAATTTATAAAGATTATACGTTATCAATAAGCTACTGCTACACTAAACTTTTATTATTTTAAGATTAGTTTTAAATGGAAATAATCCATTAGATTTATTGATACATGAGTACTTCTAAGTGGGATTTCTTACTATTATTATTACTATTGTTTCATGTTTTTACTATGTTATTAATTTTTTATATTATTTCTCTTTATCATGTATAACAGGTTTCCCGTAAGTAGAACAATTTTTTTTTTATAGGAGTGATAGGAGACTTCTAGAGCTACAAAAAAGTTCATGTAAACAATGGACCAATTTTCAGCAGAAAAGTAGGAGATCCAAGTTTTGTGTTTTTTTTAAAGTAAGTTATGTTTTTTGTTGAATGGGAAGCGATAACTAAAGAAATATTTAATTTAAGTAATCAAACATTGCTTCTCTGCAAACTAGAAAAAAATTACTATAGATTTAAGTAATTAAACATTGCTTCACTGAAAACTAGAAAAACATTACTATAAATATAAATAAAGTTGACCATTTAAAGAGGACTTTTCAGCTGCTAAACTAAGGTAAGTCCTGTTAAAAAAAAAATCATAAATTATTCATGAGTTTTTTTTATCATCATCCAACTATTCTACAGATATTCCACTTTTAGGAAAAATTCTTCGTTTAACAAGCTGTAAGTCTGTACTAATTAAGTTGAGGTTTATTAGAGAAAAATTTCAGTTTCACCTCAAGTTGTGTACAAAACAGGGGTACTTTGCTGAAAATAGGGGTACTTGAACTTCACAGGATAAAAAATAAATCATTTTTTCCACTACTTGAGGTGAATCTCAAATTTTTAATACTTACAGCTTATTAAACGAAGACTAAAAGTGGTTATAATTGTATAATATAGTTGGATGTTTATAAAAAAATAATTTATAATGTTTTTAAAAATAGAACTTAGCTTAGTTTAGCAGCTCAAAAGTTTTGTTTTAACAATGAAAATCTCTATTTTCATTTGAAGTAAATTTTGTCTAGTTTACAGTAAAGCAATTGTTAATTAGTTAAATTAAATATTTTTTTAATTATTGCTTCCAATTCTACAAAAAACATGACTGACTTAAAAAAGGCCGACAAAGCTTGGATTTCCTATTTTCCTATTGAAAATTGATCCATTGCTTATATGAACTTTTTCGTAGCACTTGAGATCTGCTATAACTCCTATAAATATTTCTCTCTATATACAGGATACCCGGTAGGCACCTTTTACCATAATATTTACTGTCTATGGGTGTGGCAGATTGTATTGTTATTGTTTAAGCAATAAAAAAACCTGTCATGAAAAACTGATACAAAATAAAATGAAAAAAAAACCTTTAACCTACGAATGGTTTTGGGTTCACTACTTTGAAAGGAAGTACTGTTTCTTGGTCAACAGTGGTGCAAGGAGGTGATTTGACCAAGATCATGCTCAACTATGAGGTTTTATGTCTTAATCAATTATTTAATCAAGAATATGCCTTTTATAGTGTGTGGGTGTGTCCCAGGAGGGTCTCCCAATCCCAGGGTTGATTCATAGCCAATGAAACAGAATAAATAATTATCTGCCATCAGGTGGATTTGAACCCAACCTTGATTTTTAGAAGTCAGTGCTTTATCCACTGAGCTACCAGGTTCCATAAATGAATAAAATAACTGTTAAGATTTATATAAAATGAATTAATCATATCGTTATGTATGCAATAATAAACATTTAATTATTTATTTTATTTTGTGAATATTTCACCTGTCCATAGCTATAATGGTTTGCTTTGTAAGCTGGTAATGATACATCTGGGCTGAGTGTGCTAGACGGCGGTCACCAGTCGGTGTAGCCTCTTTGTTTGGACCAGTCACTCCGTAGGCTGGGTACTCCACATCAGCAGCATCTTTCGCTTTTTTCTGTAATCTATTAATTAAGAGAATTTTATAGATATGAATAAATTACAACTTCTCAAAATTCTAAAGACTGTTAGGAAACGGGTAATCATTTTTTAAAAATAAATGTCCAAAGTTTTATAAGCTAAAAGTTTAAAAAAATCAAACCCACTATCAGAACTTATAATTTAGCCTCTTAACTTTAAATATAAGTTAGTAATTCTTAAACTATGTATTAGAATTCAATACTTTGCTAGGCTGTACTGTTGTAAGACCAATGGTTATGCAAGTAGGTGATCGCTCAATCACCAGGTTTTCCCTCTTAATTAATTATTCAAATAAGAGTACCCACTTTATAGAAGCTAGGTGTGTCCCAGAAGTGTTTTCTGACCCCAGTGGAGATTCACGGCTGATGAAAAATTATGACTTTGAACTAAGCAGTCCAGTACCTAATTCACTGAACTACTCTGCTGCCTTAAAATATATATCTATACTACATAATGTTACAAATTTAAACAGGTGGACGTCGAACAAATTTTGATGTTTTATATAGAACTTTATACTATTTACAAACAGAAAACATTATTTAGAATAACTGTTTCAAAAAATTAAAGAAAGGCAGCAGAAACTATCATATAGCTTGATTGGTATAATGTTAACAGATGTTAACCAAAATTATTTTTCACACTTCGATAGTCTTAGAATATGGATCCATATACACTAATTTGTAAGCAAATATTTGTGACAGCAATTTTCCACACTTGAGTCAGAAACCTTGGCTTATTAGAATCAGACCCATGAATACTAAGTATCATCTAGCAGTGGGACTGTACAATATATCTCAATCTTCAAACTGACCAAAATAGATTGGAAGAATAATCTGCTCTTCTTGCTTAGTTAGAGTACAATAGGTTGTCAAACTGTCAATAACATATACATTATTGTTATTAGTTATTCATATAATATAAGTAATTATATAACAAACGTAAATGTTGAGAGAGCGATACTGACCATACTTGCCACAATTTAAAAAAGAAATTATTATTAATTGTTTCATCATGAAGGTATATTCTCAAGATTTACTATCTCAAAAAAAAAATGTAAATATATATGTATATAGATAAATTCATTTTGCTTACTTTAGAAATCCATATATCAGAAGAGCCACACCAACCACTGCTGCTACACTGCTCCCTGTTATCAATGCTGTAATATTAAATGAACTCAATAATTCGTTCTATTAAACTTTTATACCTTTGAATTACCTAAGTAGTGTTCGCTCTGTAATCATGAGATATAAATTTTCATTTTGTCATATTTCCAATGGACTGTTAGAGTGATTGAATTCCACTAATATTCAAAATGAATTTTTATATTTGTTAGCAGTTAATTAATATAACACTCCTAGACTATTTTTTATATGATTTAAGCTTATGTATTGTCAGTTTATTGCAAAAAGTCTCCAAGTACATTTCTGATGGAGCTGCACTTTTGACTGTTGGTGAATGTGTTGGTGAATTTCCCTCATGAATAAATAAAAATATACTATATTCATCAAACTTACACAAATTCTTTTATATACCAAACAAAACACTAAGTCTAAAATATTTAGATATCACAGAGAGAAAATTAATCATAGTACTTATGGTTTAATTTTCTGAAATGTATTTATGACTCTTTGCAATAAACTGGTAATATAAATGATTTAAACTTTTACAAATATATATATATATTTATTCATTTTGTGGCTTAATGCACAAGATACTTGCTAGGCCTACTGTTTGCCAAGCTTATAACAATTGAAACAAAACTTTTATTATTATTTAATGAAAAATAAAATTATTTTGCATAATTCTTTATTTTTAGAACCTTCATTCTTGAAAGAAATTACTTTCACATTCTGAAAATATATGCTTCTTGGATGGTTGAGAAGAAAGCTTTCATTGAGTAGTAAATATTTATTTCCATATATTTTATCCAATTTAATAATTATCAGACAATATTTAGTAATATGCTATAGGAAACAAGTTTTACTAAAGGTCTAGGCATTTAAAACTTCTATGTTTTCTTCTTTACTCTATAACACATCCGATATTATTCTTGTAAATAAGTAGGAAAACGTGATTTTGATTATCTTCTTGTCATTGTATTAGTAAATGCTTGATATAAAATATACATGTAATGTTCTTCAGTGGAACTAGAAATGGCTCAAGAGACCATTTGTCCCCAGCAGAATTTTTATGGCAGAAAATTTGGATCAATTTTTTTTAAATTTTGGTTATGTAACATATGAGCCATTTATTTTGAAAGTGGCCTAAGTTCTATATTTATATTGAGATTTTTATGGGTTTGCATTTTAATGTAATTAAAAATATACGGACAGCATACTAATGAATCACATTGCTTAAGTATATCTAAAGGAGTTAAATTTATAGCTTCTATGAAAATAATGGAAATTATTGCGTGAATAATATGTGTTTTCTTACCAAGAATGGAGCTAGGCCACTTTCAAAATTAACAGATTTGTTATAATATTTAAAGGAGTCCAAATTTATGTGACATAATTTCAGATGCTTCAAATTGAAAAATCAATTTATTTTGTATATCTTTTTTACTTTTATATACCACACACTTCTAAAACATAATTTATGCGATTTAAAACATTTCTAATTACATAAATTACAAAATAATATACTGCTAATCTACACTTTCTGTGTGCGAAAGGGATTTAAAGAAATCATGATGTTTGTATCGTAGTAGGTCCTGTGTCCTTAAATTTTGCTGTTGTAATTTGTCTGATATTTTTATACATTGGTGTCAATACAATATTTTTGAACTTTCTTGGATTACCCCCACGTGGTAATAAATCCATGATTTTCTATTTTTATATTTTGACAAATACTTTAAAACTCCAATTTCTTGGCGAACCTTTTCCATTTTTTTACGTCTTTGTTTCACAGTTTTATGCTTGATAGCTTCGTAAAGCAATAATTTTGTTTTTTAAAATCTCCCAAATACCAAAACTTATCAAAAATATACGTTCTTTCTTCTTCTTCACAATTTTTTATGGAAGCTTTTGTACAACAGTAATCTTTGTTTCGGAAAACTTTTAAAGGTACAATGTTTCTGGTTTGAGTATAATATCTTTTTACAGAATGCCGTTTAATCTTTCACACTTTTTGGATATAGTTACTAACGATTGTATTTTAGTAGCAACTATTTATTAATTTTAAAACAAGAAGATAATTGAAATTATCTTTGTTTATTTATTAACAAACATAATGTGGGTCTGGAGATGAAGAATATTACTCTGAAATGTAAACTTTGATTGAGTGTATGAAAACATAAGGAAGAAAATATGGAAGTTTTAAATGCCTAGACTTTCTATAAATCTGTAATAGTTTCCTACTATATTCCACTACAAGTTTTATTAAAAATAATTGATTCTTACCAACAAGGATGATGTTTTCTTGAGTAGAACTGAACTCGACTAATGGTGTTTTAACCACCTCGTCAGGGTTGCTCTCTTCAGTCGTTGTTTGTTTAGTTTCTTCTCTTTTTTCAGTCGTTAAAATTTCTTCAGTAACTTCCTCTTTTTTATCATCCAATGTATCTTCATCTCCTCAAATGACAAAACAAATATTATTTAAACAAACTTTTAGGATATACCTTGAAGAAGTTAATTTTTTTCTGTTAAATTAATATTAGTAGGTAATTCTTTTTATTGGAATTATTTAACAGAAATTCCTTATTAACTGAGCGATAATCTGAATATTTATTATTTTTATTGTGTAATTTCTGTAACAACCGTTATGTATTAATAGATTATAAGTCTACATGACGACATGTAAAGATCGACATCGAGTTTATTTTCTATTTTTATTTCAAAAAGTTACTTTTGATGGCACAAATAATAACTACTTTGAACTGCTCATGTTGCTTTGATTCTGACCTGTGGGTATTTTATTATTTTTTGGAGAATCTATTTAATATTAAGAAGATCCAAGCTCAAGAATAGGTTGGTCTAGTCCTTCTTTTTCTAGTTGGAGTAGGTATGTAAACACATCAGTTCCATTAACAGTAATAATATGAATTGGAGATCTATGGTAAATCAATATATAGGTTTTATTTACATTACAACAATTATATTGCCAGTTACAACTGATTAATTTTTATTGGTTCACAAATAATAATAAACTATCTATGATAGCCGTTATCATTATATAAATGGTTCTTATTTAGTAACTTATATATTTAATGTATCATTAATTTTTAATAAAACCAAACTTTTTAATAAATTCATCCTTCACCACCCTTCCCTAAAGAAAACCTCACTTAATTCACCATAATCATCAGCATTTTCACAAACAAGGCAAGGAATATAATAACAATTTACCGAAATAATGATAATTAATTTTTATATAAATAAAATATTCATACGCATATCGTAATTCAACTATTGTATGTTTACTTTAATTCTTAGTCAATATTATATGTAGTATAATATATAAGATTCCGCCTATTATTTATAAACCAATAATGTTCTTTTCAGGTTATAAAATGTATGTAATCAATGTATCTGTTCAATTTATTAAGCCAGTCCTTTCCACAGCTGTCAGGGATATTGACATAATAATTCTGCTATTGGGAACTGATTCTTATTTAACTGCTATGGACTGTATTATTAAATGATTTGATGACTATAATTAAAATATGATTGCTATATTTGGTATCTGTTATAATGTGAGTCATTGAGGACAAAAGCTACTGCATTATTAATTTTTATGTTATTAAATTTGATTTGAATATTATAAATTATTGACTTTGAGGTGGGTGGTGGCTAGAACTTACTGCTGGGTACTTGCTTCTTTTCTCCATTACAAGTTTTCTCTCCTTTTCTCCCTTCCAAGGTTTCAGACCCCTTGCTAGGACGCTAGAGTTTCTACTCTATTTATCTTCTTATAAAAAACAGTATAATATTAATTGATTGTTGGCCAGCCATGTCTCCTGTCTTAAGTTGATACCAACCCTGCATGTCTACTCTGTCTCTGCTTATCTTGCCTATCAGTGCTGCATGTTTTTTCATTAAATTTAAATTAAATAAAGTAGGAACTTGGTTGTGTACCATAAACAGTATGTATGCATCAATCTAAACTATTGGTAAAAGTACGATAGCAGTATTTCATTGGTGCGAAATCGTACAGGAATATGAAGTCCAAAAGCAGCTTTGAAGTGGTCTAATATTTAATTTATAATAACGAAGTACGTTAAGGATCAGGAATATCATTAAATAGGTGGTTAAATTGTGTATTGGGAAAAAGTAAATTAAAAGGAATAAAGTTTGGAACAAAATATTGGAGGAAAATAATGTTCTACTAGTTGTTGATTGTTCACAAGTATCCTACTTGTGAACAGTCCAGTCGGCATGGACTGCTATCTGCTAATGTTTTGTAACCTTATCACTGATAATTCTGATAAGGCACTGATAATCCCTTTCTTCATATGAAATTCAAAAACACAAAAACAAATGTAATAATAACAAAACACTTTTATTTTACAACATATATATGAAATAGGCAAAAACAAATGTCATGTTTATCGAAGTTGAAATAGACGAAAAGAAATGTAAGTATAACAAAACACTTTGATTTGAAATTGAAATAGACAAAAATAAATATAATAATGTACCAAAAAGAAATATATTAATAAGTTATATAAATCTAATAACATTATAATTAAATAATAAGGAATATAAATAAAAAGAAAAATAAATAACAAATAAAACAACACTTTGATTTTACAACATATATACATATAAAACACTTTCATTTTAAACAAACACCGCATATATGTTCATACTTTATTTTGGCAGACAAAATAGCTTAATGGTCTTTAAAATACTGTGTCTTTAATAATGGTCTTTCTCTGTGAGCGCCCCGCCACAAAAATTCACATAAATATGAATCGAGGTGTTGCCTCACAGTTCCTCGATATTTCTTATTTCTCCGGAACTAGTACCATTTCGCCACATAGCTGAGCCCCATTAACGTTCTATGTGTTGAGTATGGACCCCAGTTGATGGATCAACAAAGTTATACCGGTGATTCACCTGCAAATCATGATAGTTTGCTTCATTCAGTTGTTGGGTGTTGTGTCCTTTTCAACAGTCAGAATAAATGGTGCTTCCCTCTTTTATATTATTTTTAATACATTCTAATAAAATTCTTGCCTTTCTATCCTTTATTTATACGATAAAACACTCGTCTGTTTTTCGAAAAACTCCGCCAAACTTCCATTGTCAGGGAGAACTCTCCCTACATGATTTTTACTTTTAGAAAAAAGACTAGTCTACTTCAACGACTTTCCCAGGCCCTCCAATTTTCTTAGTTGATCCGTATAACATGCTAAGGGCAAAAACCTCGCTTAAAATTTTTTAAGCGTTATGATACATCTGTTAGATAGTTTCAGCTGCTCTTTGCCCCACTGTATTGTTTTCAAATTATGAGACTGCACATAAATTAATTTTAAAGCGATTGAAAAGGTATTCTTAGATCCCTCCAGCCACGTTCCTTTCCTTATAGATAGGTTTTTGTTAGAGGTCCTAAGAAAGTATCTCCATTTCGTCTTACCGCCAAACTTCATTTCATGACCTTCTTCACAATATTCCCACTTTGCTATTATAGTCTTGAAAATATTTGATAGCCTCTTTTTCTGAAGACGGCAATCCCCACAATGTAAGAACATCCATTTCAACCAAAAACAATAGAACAAAAATAACCACTGCAATAACTCACACGCAACAGTTTGAGATAAAAGGGCAGGTTATGTGACGTAAGATACGATAAGAAGGGAGGTTTACTGCCGACCATATAGTTCACAAGTTCCTAACCTTGTACTAAGATGGAATACGATACATGTCAATCAGTTGTATGGCATACACATATGACTGCAATTTATGTGGTTTAGATGCAAATCAAAATAACTAATTGAGAAAACTGAACATGTTGGTTTCACCATCCAATGAGAATTTATCATACTTTATCTTGGTAGAGAAAGCCACAACTGTGACTTTATTAACCAGCCAGTGACTGATCCAGGAAATTTCTCAGAGGGAAGCGCATCTCTGTACCAGGTGCTTCATCCACCCCTACCCGTTCCTCCACCACTACACATCTCCACCACTCATTGGTTGAGTTTAGCAGCTTAAAAGTCCTCTTTAAATGATTTTAACAATAGCAAACTCTATTTTCGTATAAAGTAAATTTTTTCTAGTATACAGTGAAACAATCGTTAATTACTTGAATTAAATCGTTATTTAGTTATCACTTCCAATTCAACAAAAAAAGGGACTCATAGAAAGGAACACATAACTTAAATTTCCTACTTTACTATTGAAAATTGGCCTGATGTTTATATAAACTTTTTAAACTTGGCTATCACTCCTTTAAATAATTCCCTCTACTTTCGGGACACCCTGTATGTGAGTATAGAATGTGAAAAACAAAATTGCTAACTCGGCTCACCAAGGGAAATCTTTCTACAGCCAAAAAGCTAGATTTATCCGATTTTTTTTTTATCTATTACTACTGAACAGGGCATGGAAGCGAAAAACATATTTTTTAAGAAATTATAGAACGTTGAATTTTGTGTCGAACGAGTATCGTAAACTGATATAAGAACTACACTGAAAAAAGTGATATGGGATATAACGACGGTCAACGAACGCTAATTTTTACCAAATTTGTCCAAATTTGCTGAAGCTTGGAAATGAGCCCTCTATGAGAATTCCGATTTCGATCCCGATCATATTCAGATTTCGATCTTATCGGAGAACAAATAATTAGTATATTTTTTCATGAAAAAGGTTCCAATAGCAGCAGTTTTAAGAAAAGAAAAACGCTTTCTAATGAGATTTATACAAATGTTCATCGTGAACAGTTTTATGAATTGTATGTATTATAATTGTATGAAGAAGACTATAGTTGCTGGAGGTTGCAGTGCGTCCAGGTCTATGGCAATTGAATAAAAATTGGGCCCGGGAGAAAACCCGTATTTTCTTGTGCTAGAATAAAATATTGCTCTTCAGAATAAATAAATTTTGTACGTTTTTATAAATTAATTTTTCTCCATCATGTATTTCACCTCCGAGAATCAGTTTGGAGTCTATAGGAACAAACTGTGACAGGAGCACAAACTTTCGCATCTCACGGCGCGCAGTAGGACGAGTAAGGGAAAACTCGCGACATCGGCTAAATCAATTTTTTTTTTTTTAGAACTAGATAAACTGTTTGTTGATACTTTCTGGAATTCATGAGAATAGTTTTAGTTGGCAGGACAGGCGGATCTACGGGGGGAGGGGAGGAGCTTTCGGGCTGAAGCCCCCCCAAAATGGTAAAATATGACCATGTTTTACAGAAACAAATATTAAAAACTATCTCTTAAAGTATTCTTGTTCCTGTAATTACATTTAATAGAATTTCAGAAACCACTTAAACACCATTTCATATAGGTAGTTAATTTCTTTCATTTTTTTTTTCAAATTAATTATCGTCATATGTATATGAAAAAAAAATCTTTCCTGCTGAAGCCCCCCCCCAAAAAAATTAACTCCTAGATCCGCTA